AACCAGTTTGTTTCTATGTCCATGAGTCCATTTCTAGCAGCACCATTTTTCCTAGTTAATATATGATGCTTGGCTGCTTTCAGTTTCAGTAATTCCATCTTATCTGTGGGCATTTTTCTTCTGGTGAGCCTGTATGTGGTTTGCACACGTGGTAATAGAGATCTGTATTTGGGAGAACTCCAGGCCTCATGTAGTGCCTGGTAAAAAGTGCCCACTAAGCTGATGCTTGAACTGGGAAAAAAGCATAGTAAATGTTGGCATTTCCACTATGGTTGAGACTTCCACGTTTTTATAACCTCTTTAGCCCACCTTAATGTTGGCTGCACCCATACTAGGTTATTTGGTGGAACCCCATGTTATGGTGATGTAGAGACAGGGCCTTGTATGCTTCTTCTCTTTCCTTTTTCTAACACTAATTCTCCTGGGCCTTCCAGATCCTCCCACAGCAGTGCCCAGGGCTGGCTTGGTGCTGCACTCAGGCAATATTTGTTTATATGGCCCTTTCCTCATCTCTTCTAAGCCTCCGTTTCCTTCTCTGCACAATGAGACCATAGACTTGATAAGTCCTTTTCAGTTTCTTTTTAAGCCATGTTTCCTTTGAGAAACAGAAAATGCAAATCTCTCCTCCCATTCCAACTCTTTAGATTTTGATACGACCTCCAAGGAGTGACATAGCTCTTTGTGGAAAACTGATGTGATTGTGATTCCAGGTGGCACAGAAAAGACTCTTCAGAGATTTATTGCAGGGAAAGGGCAGGAAAGGGGCAGTATGTCACACTTTCTAGTGTGAGCACTGGAGCAGGGGCTTGGGTTCAATACGGTGTCTGATGTGGTCTCTCTCTAATCTTGCACAATGTGATAAACTTCTATCCCTCAGTTTCTTCATGTGTCAAGTTGGGGTGATAGTATTTTAGGGTTTTTGTGAAACATTATACACGTAATCCATTTGTGTCTCGGTAGAAACAAAAGCTGCTAGGGAGTCAGTGATTTCTTTAAAAAAAAAAAAAGAAATCTTGTCCATAGCACTCTGTCGGTATGTATTTTGAAGTTCCTGGAGGGTGAGTGTTGAAACTAAAGTCCATAGTGGGACAGGTGGCCCATGGTTCTCTGTGCCCCAGGTTGCCCCCTCCTCCCTAGTTCTCTTCCCCTCAGTCCAGGAGGAAGTTCCCTAGTAGGTTTACACAGAGTTCTTGTGGAAATGGCTTTTCATTTTATTGTTTCACCAAGAAGGGCTGCCATCATGATCTCTGTGGTCAGGTTTTGGTGACCTGAAGTCTATGCAATTGGGTGTTTCTATTCAATAAAAAAGAAAAAAAATTACAAATACAAAATTAGACCTAGGGTGGTGACAGGGGCTCTTGGAAGTGGGGACCATTAGCTTTGTTAGCTTCAGGTGCAGTGGCCTCTGGCCACGAGGACACATCCTCGTGCTCTGAAGTTGGAGGGAACAGTGGGTTCAGTGGGAAATTTGAGTGTATCTCTTGTTCTAGGGATTGTCCTATTTATTCTGTGTGTTCCTTATTTGAGACAGTGAGTTCATTTAACCTCAATAGCCTCTTTAAAAAATTAGACTTTTAATTTTGTGATGTAATGTAAATTCCCATGTAGTTGTAAGAGATAATATGGAGAGGGCCTATGGACTCTTGGCCCAATTTTCCTTAATGGTTCAACCTTGAAAAATTCGGGTACAATTCATTACTGACTCACTAACCCTTTGAGGTTTGTGTTTTTGCCCTCATTTCTATTCATGATTAAACTGGGGCTTAGAGAAGCACACAGGCCTGCCCAGGTCACCCACATGGTTAGTGTAGAGTTGGGTGAATGTGGGCTTGGGATTTCCAGGCAGTACCAATATGATGGTCTGTGGCAGGGAGAAGCATTCACTTTGCTTGTTTATTCATTCATTCAACAAACATTTATTGAGAAACCTCTGTGTGTCAGATGCTTTCATAGGGTTATCAGATTCTTCGCAGTACTGAGAATTAGGTAATGTTTTCTTTTTTTTAATCTGAGAAAATTAGCTCTGAGTGGTTATAACCCCCCAAAGGTAATGTAGCTCATAAAGGAGTGATAGTAAATTTGTACAGTCCCCACTTTTTATGCAGGTGGTACCCTAGGCATTTTACATTTGCAAACTTCCATAATCCAGATATATTCTTGTAAGGCAAGGATTTTTTTTTTAATTGAAGTATAGTCAAGTTTACAATGTTGTGTCAATTGCAAGGTGTTTTTTGAATTTTGAATTAAAAAATATTTTTTGAGGAGGGTTATTAGATTTGTTTCATTTTTAAAATGAGGTACTGGGGATTAAACCCAGGACCTCGTACTTGCTAAGCACATGCTCTACCACTGAACTGTACCCTCCTCCCCAAGGCAAGTTTTCTTATCCATTATTCTACAGCTTAGGAGTTTAAATAAATTAGAGTTGAAATCCAGATGTTTTGATCCCACTGTGGTTCTTTTCTTTATATTCTGCTTAAAGGGGTGTGGAAAGCAGTTCCTTTGTTCATTTCTTTATTCAGCAGTTTTGAGCACTGACTTTGCATCAGGGTCTGGCTAGGTGTTTGGAACAGAAAACAAGAAATGACCCTGCTCTGCAGGGGCTGGAAGCCTAGACCAAAAGCTGGGTAATGTGATCCAAGCTATGGTAGCCATGTGCAGACACTGAGGACAAACTGTACCCCCGGCTTTGCTTGGGTTTCCCTTGCCTTCTGGCTGGTACACACCAGGTCACCGCAACCCAGTGAGGCCCGCAGCCTATAGCAGAGTATGTATCTCGATCTCCTCTCCCCTCTCAGCAGGGGCTGCAACATGAGCATCCCTGACTACGTGCAGTGCGCTGAGAATGACCAGATTTTCCCTGTGGTGGTCCAAGCCATTGGGATCATCTCAGAGGAGAATTTCTTTTGCATCTATAAGCGAATCTCATTGGTGAGCCAGATCAGCCCGTGCGGCTCCCAGTGGGCACTCTGTATCCACTACAGGCACCACTATGTACCCGAGAATGGGTGGAGAAACTTCCAGACCCACAGCAACGTAGTGGGCCTTGTCACCATTACCGACTGCCTCTCAGCCAAGGCCTTCGTGAAGCTCCACATGCAGAGGAGCTGTATGGCACCTCGCTTAATGACTCTCAGCTATTTGTCTTTGTCCTGCATGGGGAGGTAGCCGAGCATATGCTCACCGACGTGGCCCTCAATCTATGAGGACTGCAGGGTGGTAGAGAAGAGGATCGAGGACTTCACTGAGTCACTCTTCAACATGCTCAAGTCCAAGTGGCTGGATAGGGCCCTCAACAAG